TCATTCAAGACATATTAATACTAAACCTTGTAGGTAGAAGCACATTTATACATGGGTTAATATTCGTCCGTCTGACAACCGTTTTTTTTCTACCCAGTCAATTCGATTTATTTTCCCACAAATTTCAAGATTTCTTTCTTGGCCGCGGGACACAAGAACGAAGAGCACATTTTGACAATTTTGCTCTGAAGATTTTTCCTTTATGATTTACCACAGGACCGCAGGTCGTATGAATGATATTGGGCAGCAGAGAGGAAGAGATATCGTCTTAATCGCGAGTGCTTTTGACGTATCTGACGCTCGAGGTCAGATAAACAGTCAAGAGGAATTTTTCGAGACAAACTCTCGTGGAATTATTTCCAAAGAAACAAATAATATTTTAAGGAATTTTGTCGGAATAAATTCAATAAAATTGTATGAATTTTCGGTGAATATTGCCGGAAATCAGTAAAATGAAATTATGGTGACGTTGAGATATGGACCAGGTGTTGGAATTGTGATTGTGGAAGAAATGAAATGAATTTAAATTACCTTTTTAAAAATTTAATTTGCCATCACTTTTCTTTGTAAAACTATATCATAAATGTCTTATAATTTTCATGGAAGAAAAATTGCTCTTAGTTGAACATGAATCTGAATAACTGAATGAAGAACCGTAATTGATTTTTACAAAAATAAGTAGAACTTGTATGCAATGTAAAATGAATTGAAATATGACGGAAATTTGTAATTCCTTTTGAAATTGTCATACTCTATATTTTATTGGAAAAACCTTAAAATAGTTTAACAATTTTGGTAAATATTTTTTCATATAGTAAGAAGTTCAAAAAATTCTTTCATAAATTAGGTTGAAAAGGAAGTTATCTCGTCGCTACTACCCGACAACGAATCAAAGGAATTCTAGCGCGTAAGACTTAAAGAAAAACGTAATTTATATATTTCCACTAACTATGTTACCTGAAACTTGTCCATTCATTAGTTAAACGTCTTTGATAATGTCTCCGTACGCTAAGTAATTCTGTCTACGTAATTGAAAATTATTCTTCGTTCAGTATTTTAAAACAATCTTGAGAAGCAGGAATTTATTCGGAAATAAAGTCCCTCAGATATTGTTTCTGAGGAAGAAAATTTTTGCCTACGACTGCAGACCTTTGGAGCTCAATATGTCACTGAAGAACCTCCTCTAATCATCATTAGGTCAAGAGGGTGAAAAAGACCAGCTATTTCCTAGGACTAGAGCGACTCCTCAGCAGAAGGAAGGACATCATCACGATCAGAGAAAAGGACTTTTTAGCAAAGAAAGTAACTTTTTGAAATTAAAAATGAATTTTTGGGAAGTGCAAGGAGAATTCAAGACACGGAAATCGTCCGTTGGAACGTTAAACTGAAAATTCCACGAAAATTACAAGATAAGCCTAAGTTTTGCACAGATAAGTTAATCAACTTTTTCGGCAAAGTGTGAAATGCTTGTTAAACTTTCTGGTAACTAATACTAGAATAGTCAATTTGGAACCAAAATACATTATTTCTTCCGTCAAGGTGGTGGTTAATAATATTAATAATAATGGGCTTAATAATTTTCAAGTAATTCTATACAAAAATAACTTTTTAGGAACTTAAAATATTTTCACGCTACTCAAATGTTGTTCTAAACAAGATATTGATATATTCGAAGTTCTAAAATTTTTTTCTCGTGCTACTCGTTTTGTATTCGAATTGTCCTGTCGCGCGGGACAGACGTAATTTTGAATGAAAAAACTGCCTGAGCTCAAATGCGAGCTTTCGGATTTGTCCGAGATTTCATTTGTGTTCCTTCAGAGAAATTCTGTTGACATGAGCCATTCTTCGCCTTATTTTCGCCAGATATGAAGTCCCAGCAGTAGTGCTAGTATCGGATTATATTAACTGTGTTATTAAATAAATTTTCATGCCACTAACAAATATGCAACTTCATTTTAGATGGCTACTTGTTGATTATATATACAACCCTACAACTCTCTTGAGTTTGAGAAACTCAGTTTCTAGATAGAGTAATGAGAGACCAATTTTTTCTGAATCATGATATATAAGAAATTATACTATTTATACATATTTCTGAAACTTAGTGTTTTGTACTTAGTATTCCGGCGACTTGATTTTACCAGACTCACAGCATTTCAGTGCCATATTATACTTCACACTTAGCATAATTAGCCAGCAGCATTCCCATATCGTATAATTCAAGAAAGCTTTATTTATTTTTCGTGTTCCGAACACATGGGATTCTTGATGCACAGAATTCCTGACATGCAATATTCCTAGCATTGTTTATTAACGACACAATGTTTCCAGCAGCACTGTGTTCCAGACACGTTGAATTCCAGCCGCTGCATTCCAGGAGTATCTTTAGTGCTCCTTGCGCATTCCCGAAGAGACGGGAATTGGTCTGAGTCTTTAAGGCTGACGTGGGATCTGATCAGTGGGAATTGCATTCCCGTCAGGCAAGCGTGGCTGGTTATTCCCGTTCTTGGTTGCGTGCTATAATATACAGATAGATATTAGTTATTCTCAACTTCTTGTATAATAATGTTAAATTAGGAGCACAAGAAACCCTAACATTAAAAAAAAATATCGACGAGCATCAAATTTATTTTTCTTTCGTAGGTGATTAATTTATTCATGCACATTAAATTATTATAATCAAAATGGGACGATTAGTATGCTTCAGCATTCCGAGGATTCTAGTCTGGAGTAGCAGTAATACTCCAGACCTGCTACTCCAACGACCAGAGTAGCAATTCTACTCCTAAAATGCCCGAAAATACAATATTCAATCGTGTTCTACACTCTTCGGGCAAACCTTGAAGCTTTGCTCGGACTCAGTGAGGCAGATCATCACTAAAGCTGCTGTACGGATTGAGTGGCTACGTACGTCTAAAGAAGTCATCATTTTAACAAATACGTCCCTAAGTAATCATTTTAAATAAGTTCTTTATTCACTCCTAAAACCTATGTTGCCAGGTAATTTTCTGGTTTCGACTGAATAGAAGATTTAAAAAAGGTTTTTAATTCGCGTAGTACGCCAGGACTTCGTTCCGAGCAAATGGCTTATCCATAGCAAATGATTTAACACTCACTGGCAGCAGTCACTTTTCAATTTTCCTCTTTTTTAACGCCTTTTCTTATTTGTGGAAAAAAGGCGCTATTGTGCTCGTCTTGTCCATCTGTCTGTCTGCCTGTCTGCCCGTCCGCCCGTCCGTCCGTCCGTGACTTCACGTTTTCGTCGACGAGAAAATGCGCTCTGTCACTCACTGCAGCGAGTACTGAGTTATTTTTTTGATTTCCGTGTGGTAAGAAATCATGAGCTGCGTGTAGGATGATCACTTCAAACCGACTGACGTGATGAATTAATTGACCGACTCTCACACGGTCCATGTCAGACGAGATGGTTCATGTCTTTGGCGCACTCCTTGCAGTAATTTTTCTAGCTTTATAGTTCTCGAGGATCGGTTTTTGTCAGCTCAATTTATCGTCTGTGAAGGTTACCTGAAGTATTACAGGGAACTTTCATACAGCTAGGGGCGCGTGTTTAGAATAAGGTTTAAATGATGGAAGTTTCTTACCCGTTATGGCACTAGAGAGACCTTTAACTAAAAAAACTTTAGTATTGTGAGAAGGAAGACATGAATACCGAACGAATATTTGATTTATTATTAAAAAATTTAAATATGCGAATTTTTTATAAAACACATAATTTTTCTATTCAGGAATAAGTTATGTCATCAAGGAGCAGATTTCGCTACCTAAGAACTATTTATACGCATAATTATATTAAATTAAAAAAAGTTAACTTATTCGGATGAGTGATAATCGAAATTAACTAAGAATAATCACTGAAACAACATGATAAAGTTTCGTAAATTTCATTGTAAATACTTTTCGTAAAGCTCGAAAGCTAACTTCAAAGAGTATCGTTGGAAAATTCAGTTCTAACGAGCGATGACCCAGAAGTCGCTGCGCTTAGAACGGTTCAGTAAAAGTTTCAACCTCCTATCACGCTAAGCTTAAAGTGGAAGAGGAGGTTTAATAGTTTAACATTAGGTTCACTTCAGTATATATAACAGTGAAGAAACAATGATGAAATTATTGATGAAATCTGCACAACAAACACATCTAAATTGAAACTATTTAAAAACACTGGTATGTTATAGTAAAGTAGTGTCCGATAATCAATAATAAACGCCAGTAAACCATCATGCAAAGGTTATAGGCTAATTAAGATTCGACTACATAGAGCGATATAAGGCAACTCACAGCGACTGCATTGACCTCCAACACTGGCCGCGGTCACATGAATAGGCAGGCCAGAAGATCAGGAACATGTTGCTATATTAACTCTTATGAAATTTATAAAACCAAAAATATAATAAAGGGGAATGTAAAGATCCTTCTCGCAGATCTTTAAGAATCGTGGAGGACAGTAACTGACACGCGGTTTCGTGATAGTTTTTAACCGGTTTCTGAAAATCAATACAAAAAAACAGTAAATAGAAAGTAACAAAGATAATGACAAAATTCATATTCATCAGTAAATCAAACTAATTATACAGCTAATAATCAAGTCTTACCAAATTACTGGAGGATCGGCATACTTAAACTATTCAGCTGACAGACAGATCGCTTCTAATCGAGTCCGTACAGGTAACATTTGTCTCTGCTCGTCGGCTTAGAAGTAACTAGGAATGTTGCGCTTTAACACCGGCCCCTAATTTGCTAATCTTTATTCAAATTACTATAACATTGGTAACAAACTCAAAATCCGGATTCATGGCTCATCAACAAGATGAGCTTGGTAACAGGTCTTACAATTTCAAGGCTACCAATATTTAATACAGACGCATCTCTGTACTTTGCTATTCGCACCTTGGCAGAACGGAATCTGCCGTCGTTGCTTTCCAACATCTCCACCACTCTACCAAGAGACCATTGATTTCTAGGTAAACAAGAATCAATAATGAGAACTAGGTCTCCAGTCTGGAGAGGACGAGATTCCCTAGACCATTTATGACGAGATTGTAAAAGAGTCAAGTATTCGGTTTGCCAACGCGACCAAAATATATTAGCTAAATACTGAACTTGCCTCCAGCGTTTGCGCGCATAACAATCGGTGGGGCCAAAAACGCCGGGAGGAAGGGTAATTCCCGAGTTCAGCAAAAGTAAGTGGTTTGGTGTTAATGCCTCGAGATCATTAGGATCATCGCTAACTGGGGTGATAGGACGATTATTGATTATACTTTCAACCTCACACATCAAGGTATTTAGATTATCGTCTGTAAGCTTAATGACTTGTTCATTTAGCATGGAAAACAAAACTTTTCTCACTATGCGAATAATCCTTTCCCATACACCACCATAGTTACTGGCACACGGGACATTGAAATTCCACTCAATATTTCTTTGACGCATCTCTGGTTCGGCAGCGGAGTTCCAAGATGAAATGGCTTCTCGCAGTTCTCGGCAACCGCCGACAAAGTTGGTCCCATTGTCAGAAGTTATGGAGGTCACGTTTCCTCTTCGACACAGAAAACGCCGAAGAGCGTTAATGAACGATTCGAAGGTCAGTGAATGTGCCACTTCCAAGTGGACAGCGCGACTTGCCAAGCAGGTAAATATAACGCCGTAGCGTTTTTCTGTTGCGCGACCACGCACTACATTGAATGGACCAAAGTAATCCAGCCCAACATTAGTGAAAGCGGCAACGTCGCCCACGACTCTCTTCTCAGGTAAGTCTGACATCATTTGTGAAGCGGCTCTGGCCTGATACTTGCGACAAATGACGCATGCATTGGCAATGCGTTTCACCAAAGAGGAACAACCAATTATCCAGTAGGATTTCCTCAGGATGGACATAGTGGTGGATTTACCCAAGTGCCCGTGGATGCGGTGAACAGTTTTCACAAGCAAGGCAGTAACCGAGGATTTAGATGGCAACAGAATCGGGTGACGAACCGAGTAGCATGCGGCGGCATTCTTCAAACGCCCGCCAATTCTGATCAGCCCAGCTGGGTCAAGGAATAAATCCAGTTTCTTCAGATGTTTGTCTTTGACGAGTTTGTTCTTGATTTCCATCGTGAGGTTTGGGAACTCTTTCCGCTGTACATACTTTATGATAGACGCTTCCGCGGCTTCCAGCTCGGGGAGACTGATTCGGTGTGGGGGGCTGACTCCATTTCTCAGATAGGTTTGAAAGCGTGAGAACCAAGCGATCCTCAACTTCATTTTGTGCCACGACGAACAATCGAGTAAGGCTTCGAAGGGAGCTTGAGGGCCCGACTTTGTTGTGAATATTGCCTTTTCGAATTTTATCTCCGGGTCATCGTAGGAGATTTCATAATTGTGAGACGAGGAGGCAACAGTTTTGCGATTTCTCAGGCAAGGAGGCCCAGAGCTCCATAGCTCGTTCTCACGTAGCTGCTCGACGGTGCAGCCTCGGCTTAGTAAATCTGCAGGGTTAAGCTTCGAGGTTACATGCTTCCACTGATGGGGTGATGAATAACTGCGAATATAAGAAATTTTGTTACTGACAAATCTATGAAATCTTTTAGTCTCATTACAAATGTACCCCAGTACAGTGGTGGAATCCGTCCAAAAGAATACGTCATCATAGTTGAATTCCAGATTTTTAGCTAGGCATTTAAATAAATCTACGGAAAGCTTTGCTGCACACAATTCAATTCTGGGAACCGTCCTTAAGGTTGAGTTTCCTAAAGGGGTCAGACGAGCTTTTACCAACACCGGAGAGCTCACGACGATTTCCTTCGCAGTGAGAAACGTGACGTATGCAACCGAGCCGTACGCGACCTCGCTCCCATCGCAAAAGACATGGAGCTCCACTCGGCACGGCTCTGTTGGCAGCCCGATGCACCTAGGCACACGATAATTAGCTATTCGTTTCATACCTTCTGTCCACTTATTCCAGGCCGCGAGGAGTGACGCGGGCAGAGGGTCGTCCCAAGCCAGGCGCAACCGGCAAGTTTCTTGGAATATTTTCCGAGCAATGATGAGTACTGGTAAGATCATTCCAAGTGGATCGTAAACTGAAGCGACCGTACGTAGCACGGATCTTCGGGTCACAGTTTGCTCCTCGTAATTGAAGCTGTACGTGAAGTGGTCACCCTCTTTTTCCCAAGTAAGGCCCAATGCTTTACTTGAAGGGACATGATCATTGACGCCAATCTCGACAGGCTTCACCCTCGAGACATTCTGAAAGGCCGCCAGTACATCTGGAGAATTGCTGCAGAAACTCGTTAAATTAAATCCACCGAAAGACAAGGTAGATTTAACATCGTTTATCAAATCTATGGCTTCAGAACTATTTCCTGTCGATTTCAATAAATCGTCCACGTAAAAATTGTTTAAAACAGCGTGCTGGGCCAAAGAAGTTTTAGCGTAATCCAGAGCAGTCTGCTTGAGGGCGAAATTAGCGATGCTAGGCGAGCTACGCGCTCCGAAAACGTGAACCTTGAGTCGGAAATCTTTAACATTGAATTCTTCATCGAACCAAAGAAATCTGAGGTAATCACGCTGCTCGGGCGGAATTTTGACCTGGTAGAACATTTTCTGAACATCACCAGTGAATGCACAAACATTGGTTCGAAATTTCAACAACACTCCTACAAGGTTATTAGTCAGGTCAGGACCCGGAAGCAATTTATAGTTCAAAGACACACCCCTAAATTTAGCAGAACAATCAAAAACTACTCTGATCTTACGTTTTTGCTTGTGGTAGACCTGTCTCTTATACACATCTAGATGTGTATAAGAGACAGGTATTGAACACTATTGAATACTATTGAACACTATT